TTCCATGTTATAGAGATAGATTCATTCTATTTTGGGCATCCTATCCATAAAAGTATCATGAGGTCAGCCGCAAGGTTGGAGACTTATATGTATGTTCTCTCCCTCTCTCTGAACACACACACACACACACACACACACAAAATAAAAATAAAAATAAATCAAGTGTGGCAGTGTATATTTCCATGTTCAAGCAGTAGATTCATTTGATTTTACTCATCCTATAGATGGAAGTACCATGAGGCTAGCTGCGAGGTTGGAGACTTACATGTTCTCTCTCTCTCTCTCTCTCTCTCTCTCTCTCTCTCTCTCTCTCTCTCTCTGTGTGTGTGTGTGTGTGTGTGTGTGTGTGTGTGTGTGTGGTGCGCACCCTCCCATGGGCAGGTTCCCTCTAGCCGTAGGTCCCACGAAAGGGTCTGACGGCCAGAAACGCCATTTTCCAAACCCCACAGGTGAGGGGGGGTTCCTGACTGCCAGGGGCACCCCCCCATGCCACCGAAAGGGGGTTGAGGCCCCCCTGCTTGGCACAGCTGCTTTTGGCGGGGCCGCTTTAACCCCGTTGAACTGGGAGTACAACGGGGTAGGGCGGAGGTAGGAGGCTGCTCTAAGGTTAGAGTGCGGACCCCCCGTTCTACCTTCCCGCAGACACTCAGATCATCCAATCATTCATAGAGAGAGTGAGAGAGAGTGTATTGACAAGCTGTGACTTGGACGGAAAAAAGACAAACATCCAGACACAAACATACAAGAAGATTTGAGGGTGGTTGACGTCTTGCCGTGAACTCAGCTTCCAAAATCAGATGAAAGAGAACAAGGAATCAAGAGAGGAAGAGGGATTTGTCTCCTTTGGAAAGCCATATTCATCTGCACGAGTCACTTTGCAACCAATCAGATTGCAGCGTGAAGGGATTAATACCTCCTTACACGCTACCATTTAATTTCTCGAAGGGTTGGGAGAGGCTCGGTAGGGCCTTCCTGTACGAAGACGAAAGCGGAAAAGGAGAGGGGTGAAGGGCACTGCGGAGCAGTAGAAAGATTCAAATGAAGAGATGGAGAAAGAAAAGAGAAGAAAAGGGGATGGAAAACAGTTACGGGTTAGAGGTCCTGGAAGAAGGCGCGAAGGAGAAAGGGTGAAGATGGCTTGGGATACAACAAGAGGCGGGGGAAGTTTGCATGCATGGCTCCAACGCGGATAAGGCACTGAAATAGTTACGGTGCGTCCAATCCAGCTCTAGAACTA